GCGCCGGGGGACAGAGCTGCTGCTGCTCCCCGCCTGCTACCTGGGCATGGAGCCGCCCCCGCTGATCCCGCAGCAGTRCCGGGATTAGGGAAAGCAAACCTGCTTGTGTTGGATCTGACCCCACAGAATTCATCCATCCCAAGGGCTGGAAGGGAGAGCTCACCCTCTCCCCGCGGTTGGAAGGTTGTAGTTTGTTGTTTTCTGGTTGTCAGTTTCGGTTGTAAGAAAAAGTATCAAAAACGGGCAAGGTCTGTTTCTATTTCCTGMCAATTTCTTCCTGCCATGGCCTCTTCCCTTCCCACGTAAGAGTTAAAGACTCAGAACATTAGCAATCACAAATAAAGCACTCAATCCAAAAGAACAACCAAAACCCAAGTCAAACTGTTCCCCTTACAGTGTTTTAAGCACTTCCACACTCTCAGTCCTATGTCCACTCATGAAAAGCTTCCCATCTCACCCCTCCAGCACCGCACAATCAACAGAAGATCTCAGAGCCAACGTTTCTAAGCGAAAATTTGGCTCCTTTAAGTCACAACGTAAAGAAAAACAGCCCCAAGCTGGAAGTCACAGCCATTAAACTGCTACGAGCCAAAACCCCAAATTAAAATGAACTGGGAAAGTGAGTTTGTTTTTACCAGTCTATGAATTAAATGCATTTTTTCCCCTCTAATTTTAGTATTCATGCTTCAGAGCAATACCCCAGATCCTATATAGCAATTGGTTACACAGGGCTGGGCTGCCACTGCCTTCACCTCCTGCTTCCCTGACTAAATGCAACATTGGCAGCACAATTTGATAATAATTCCTCGTGGTAATTCCATCTGCTCCGTTTTGATTTGCTTCCTAATGAACACTACCATCTTGAACTCCAAGGTGGAGGTCAGATTTTTTTTTTTTTCCTCCCCAGGACTGTATGCCTTTAATCACTGTGCTGGAATTCCAGAACCAAACATGAGAAGCAAAATGTACAGCATGGCACCACTCCAAGATATAAACAGGGATTTGCATGATGAGTTTCTCTGTGCTCTACCCAGTTAATACTCATTAGCTATTAGAAGAAGGTAGTTCTTGATAAAAAAAAAAGAGCAGGGAGACACAGCAACTACCCCTGCACACACCAGCACTAAACCAAGAAATATTTCAGGTCCTTTCAAACACAGAATGACCAAAGRAAGAAATACACAGGCCCCAATTCCCTTCTGACTCCTCAGCTGAAACTCTGCACAATTTGATCAAACTCAAAGCAGCACCAGCAACGAAGAACAGGTGCAAATAATAAAAGTCAAGCACACAGAGGGTTCAGTAACTTCATATAAACAGATGAAGTGCATCTTGAAATCATCTGTGAAATCATCTTGAAATCAATCTATTTCCCTAGTCCAGCTACAGCCTTCTCCCCCCTATTTCTCTTATCTTCCTTCCTGCTGTCTGAGAACATTGCTCCAAAGACATTGTTCAAAGTCAGAAGATCTCAAGATTCATCATTTACCTAATTTTACAGATTTAGCTATGAAAGAAGAGCTTTTCCCTCTAGAAAATGATAATTTCAAGCATTTCTCAAGTTTTGCACTTGGTGCAAAAGACTTTGAATTTCCAGAAATTCAAAGTTTGGTGAAGTTTTGTCCTTCACATCCTATTTGRCACAAAAGCAGCATTTCTATTTTGAGTCTCTTTACAGGTTAGCARCAAATAAAACTACAAAATAAGCTTCAGACTCTCTCTAGAGAAATATGAGATTGTTCTAAGGCTGAAGGCTTGAAGGGTGCAACTTGCAAAGCAATGACCCAGCTGTCAGCTGCTGCCACAGATCTTAAAAATACTGGCACAAAAAGTCATTGGGGTTGTAGAAATAAAACACTTTTAGCCTCCCTTTTATCAAACCTCTAGGCAGAGGTCAGTTTTCTGCAAGATGGTGCAAAGAATCATTTTCTCCAGTTGGCAAATCTCTGGCTGAAGAGATTGGAGCCAGACATAACTTGTGTTCCTGGAAAGTTGGGCATGTGTTGGCACAGATTTTCATAGAACAGCTGGAAAAAAATGGTTCTGAGAGGGATCTTTGGTGTGAATTCCCCTCTTCCAGAATGCCTGACATTAAACACTTCCCCAAGTTCTGAGTTTTTTATTATTTTTTTTAATAAGCATTTTTTARACAAATGAGGTTAGGCCATGAAAACAATATGGCATTGCAGTGTCACCATGTGCAGTAATATGTGAACTTAACCCAGCATGTCCCCAGTACCTGGAATTTGGGAAGATTGGAGCTTTCCTCTTGTTTTCCAAGTAGTTCTGGAGGTGACACACTGACAATTCTCATCTCCTGGTGGGATGAAGCCTCTAGACACCTGAGGTACTGACAGAAATAAGTGCTTGGAAAATAATGATGTTTATCCCTAACAGTGTTTTTAGTCAGTCTTAAGAGCTTTTTTTCCCYGCTCTGCCCTATTTCAGTCAATCCAAGTTTTCCCACATGGACAAAATTCTGGCTACAGCATTAGCCTCTCCCARGGTTTGGAGGCTGCCAAGACCAACGGATGTAATCACATTCAATCATTCAGAACACCCATCTCAGCACTAAAAAAACCCTCACCCCTCGTGGCATTTGCAGTRTCCCTGTCCTGCTCCTCTGACTAGAACTCACAGGAAAAACCTGGTGAACTCAGTTTGACCCACACGGATTCCAAGTTTTTTGGAGTGCCACAAATTCCCCTACAAGTCCAGGTTTAAGGCTGAGTGACTGTCAGCCTAAACCCTGTGTTCCCCTCAACTGCACACAGGCTCCCAGGACAATTTCTTCCTTGTTTGGGAAAATGTTTCTGTGAGGTGTAACTGTGAATGCCGGCTCTTCTTCTTAGTTAAACTAACAGCAGGTTCAGATCAAACAAATCTAAAAGCCACCATACATCATCTGCATTACTAAAGGTGCTGCAGCACTCCCTTTCTTCCACAATCATTTCCAGAAGCCAGCAGAGGCATTTCAGTCATGCTTGGTGTGACAATTCAAGTGATTTCTGAGTCACACTGGCCCAAGAACCACATGCACAACTCCCACTCTGCATATTTGGGGACCAAATTCATTAAAGAGGAAAAATCTCACATTGTCTTCTTCCCTTTGATCTCTTCCCTGTGCCAATCAAGCATTCCAGCATAAAAACAAATCACAACAACTTGCACAACAGTTTCAACATGGCCAGGGGCACTGTTCCTTTAGCAATCATAGGAGTATTCAAACCACACCTCAAAACTTGCTGTGCCCATCAGCTATTCCCTTCCTCACCTGACTTCCAGAGGTCCAGATTTACTCAGATTTTCCAAATACAGATTTCTGCAGGAGCGTTTGTTATTCTGTGCTTTTGTTCTCTGGGAGCACACTCAGCAGTCTGAGTGCTTCTGATTTAAGCTCACCTGCACATTTATGCTTAAGCATCACTTTTTTTAAAAAATCCACCCATCAAAGAAGGTAGGTCTATCTTTTTCCAAAATGGACAGTGAAGTCTTGGACATAAACCAAGAGAAGAGAGAAAAAGTAAAGAAACCTATGCAATGATAGCACAAGATTTGCTTTTCTACAGCAAACTGCAATTTACCTTCAAGTTGCTCCTTTTGGGTCACAAACAGCACACAACTACTGGAATATCTCAAAATATTCCTTGTATGTGTAATTCCTTATTAATGAAGACATTCAAGTGCGCTGGCACTTTCCACACACAGCCTTGAAAGTCATATTAAGTCAGTGTGAAACCTTCCTCAAGACTCCTGAAGAGAATTTTTTGGATCAAACTGTTGAGGAAAGCACCCCACATAATCAAAAATGATGGTCATCCTGACTGACAGCAGCCAAATGCTTCCATGGGAGCTAAAAGAATTTCCATRCAGAAATTTCCTGGGTAACCTCTCAAACAAACAAGGCCTATTCAATAATAGGAATGATTCAAAGCTACAGATCTTTCCAGGTTTGGATCAACTCATCCCTGCTTAAATAAATAAATAGCCAATCCTTTCTGGAATCATCTTACATTTCAGGGTGCAGTTTTATGAACACATTTAGTAACAGAACCCAAAAAAAAAAAAAACCACCCAAGGAGCAATTCCTATATAAAAGGGCAGGAGCGCCATCTCCTGGGAAAAAAAGCAGAAAAAAACCGGGAAAGAAAGCCTGGTCTCCAGTTTATATTCCAGAAAACAAGGTGAGGAAAACAACAAGTGAGAGCAAGGTGCATGTTCACTCCCCACACAAAACACATCCAATTTTTCCTTAGAAAAAACACAATARTTTGGGTCTGACAACAGGCTCCTCTTTGTGACCAAATTGATGACGTTACACCGAATTTCTATGTGAAATCCACAAGTTCCATTTATTTTTTGTTCTCACAGAGCATGATTTGAAWGACACCATTTGCTTCCCGAGTTCCACCATCAATCTACAAAGAAAACACATCAGGTACTAACGGATTCTTGAATAGGTTTTTCTTGATCCTCCTCAACTGCATTTTCTTCTTCTTTTTCTTCTATTTTCTCCACCTGAGGTAGGATTCCATCAAGGTTCAGCAGCAAACCTTCACTGGTGGAAGATCTGATAACCAATTTMCGCACAATGGGATCTGGAAAACAAAGGGCACCACCAAATTGGTCTCTTTACAAGTTAAAGAGACATTTTTTCCACATTTTCTGGCTGATTTATTTCCCACAGCCCAGAGTTTCCCATCTTCCCTGGCAGATTCCCCTATTTTATGGATGGAAAGTCTGACAGGAACTAATTAACACTTAGAGATAACTAGTTAGTTTAAATTATTGACAGCCAGCAGGCATATCCAGATTGATTGTAAAGATGTGTTAATTAACAAGTTTGCTTCCTGTAAACAGCAAATATTTTTCACCAAGCCAAAAAAAAAAAAAAAAAAACCACAAGAATCAAACTTGACACTGCACAGAACGAGAATAGAAAGGTCATTTAATGATAATCCAGTGAAGAACATCAATTTCCTGCTTTTATTTGTTTTGTATCATGAAAAATCATGTCAGAACAACAACTCCTTACCATAATTGGATGGCTTGAAGGTGCAGATATCGTGGATAACTGTTTTTAAATTGGCCATTATGTGCTCAGTGGGCATATCCAGCTGAAAAAGGGTAATGCCAAGTTAGTTATGGTGATGCCTGAAGCCCAGATTAATAAATCTGAAAGCACTGGGGTTTATTTTACACTTGGATACATTTCCTTTGTCCACGTTCCCTGTGAAGGAGTTACAAATCCCATTAACAGCCTTATCCAAACGACTGAGAGAAAATAAGTATTTTATAAACAGTAATATCCTCAGTATTCTCCACATTTCTTCTCAGAATATTAAATTTCCATGGCTCTGTAACAACATGTGGCCTTAAAGGGGTGCAAAGTCTTAAAAAAATCAAAATATACACAAGTACTTTTGCAAAAACCTTATTAAAATGAAGGATTTGGGGAAAAAAACTTCAAGAAGCAGCTGTCAAAGACCACAAAACGGATCAATTTCAAAAATATAAAAATATCAACACCTAAAACTGAAGGCTTTAAGAATTTTAACAGAATTAAATCAATCAAAAGAATCAACTCATCAGCTCCATAATGAAGACAGGTAATGCTCAGAAGGTTCCAAGCATTTCAAAATAGCTCCCAAATCAGCTTTCCACAGTAAATCCTAGTAGATGCACACCTATGTTGTGTTTAAAGTTTTGAACACTTCTCCCCTGAGCAGCACAAGGTGCTGTAAAAAGGTTTTGGGAAGTTATTTCCCTTTTTAAAAAAAAATTAAATGAAAGTTTGAATCCCTCAACAGTAAGATCCCGAATTCAATATAGATATTTGTGTTTCAAATAAATAAATAAATTCATAGCTCTTGTTTTCCAAGCAGGTGCCTTTAGTTTCCTCATGCTATGAAGTTTCATTAAATTGAGAATCATAGTGACAAGGAAGCACAATTCAGAGCAGCTCATCAGAATTAATAAACTCATTTATCTCCAGCACTGCCAAAGCTTCAGGCTTCAGATATTTCCTACCCTTTCTTCCTGTGCCACCATTGGTTAGAGAAAAACTAATAATCAGGCAGGATTACAAAGAGACAAACCAGAAGGAAAACAAAAAAACACAGTTAGGGGCAGAAAAAATAAATAATCTCAAATTAATGTCATATTTCAGGAGTAAAGCAAACAGTTCTTCTTTCTGCTCCAGTCCAGAATTATAGTTATCAAAATTAGAAGTCTTTAATTAACTGGTTAAAGCAAAGACTTTTTGACCCTCCTGAGCACACTGACCATGGACTTACAAACCCACAGCTTATTTACTAAAACAAAAAAAAAAAAGTTTAAAACCAGCTGAAGATGCCACACAACAAAGAGTGCTATTTCCTTCACAGGTCAGTTAAAGAAAATAATTAAAAATCCTGGGAAACAGATTGAAAAGATTTTTTCCCCTCTTTTAATATTAATTCTGCTCAGGAGAAAAAAATTAACAATGGTGTACACAACTTACTCTGGCTATTCTTGTCTTGATTATATTCTCATCTTCAACTGTGTACTCGTGACATTCTCTGAAGAACTGCAGCATTTTGGGAATATCACTGCCCAGAGAATCTATTAAAAAAAATAAAAAGGGAAAAAAGTTGTCTGAGTAATAGTTATTAGCACAGACAGGTGTGGTAATAGTAAGGAGGTAATTAAATCTGTTAATTAAGGCAGTTGAAYTCCACTCCAAAATGCAGTTTCATGAACAAGACAATGGTGTCCTCAGATTATATAAAAATAATTTTCATCTTTCCTCCTTCCCCATTCATCAGGATTAATAAGCATCAGAGCAGGCAAATTTATTTTGATTCTAATCCCAGATTTGCCTGATGTAGGAAAAAATGGATTCCTAAAGTCACCTTTACCTAAGACAACACAAATGGTGCAGTCACCTATAGACTAATAATGAATGTAACATTACACCCACACCAAAAAAAAACATTCCAGTGACACCTCTATGGTTCCATCTCCTTCAGGAACTGGGAGTAGTGACAAAGAATTGCTTCTTACTTCTCCKTGTGCTTGGGTACTTCCTTTTCAGTTTGCCCCTCAGAGGGATTAATTTGGGTATTATGGCAGGGACAGCGACRTAGAAATCAGCTTGGATCTCATCCTCCAAGATCTGCAAAAGATACARTTCAAAATATTTAATTTGAGTTAGATGCCAAGCATAGACACCCATCTCTCACTCTTCATACTGGCTGCTGCCTCCCAGCTACAGTTCAGTGGGCAGCAGATTTCCTCCCCCAGCCCCAATCCTGTTTAAATTAGAATATTTATATAATCCTTTCAAAAAAATATAAATACCCATTTGATTAATTCAACTCCTCCCACAATGGCAGCTCCGTGCTCTCGRGCTACTTCAGCTTCTTGCTCATTCTGTTGAGAGAAACAAGTAATTAATAACAGTTGTGCTACCAATTAAGCTGCTGTTAATTGAACTCAGGTTGAGAATTTGAAATAATTATTAATGAAATAAACCCGTGGCAGCTGTGTGGGATCATCTCACACAGATAAAATGATTAACTGGCAAAGGACAGCTGCAAGAGTTTACTGGAAAATAAAAGGAAAATAAAGGGATGGAAATAAAGGAATGAAAATGAAATAAAGGGATGGAAATAAAGGGATGGAAATAAAGGGATGGAAATGAAATAAAGGGATGGAAATGAAATAAAGGGATGGAAATGAAATAAAGGGATGGAAATGAAATAAAGGGATGGAAATGAAATAAAGGAATGAAAATAAAGGAATCCTGGCTTACCCACCTCTGTGAACACCAAAACCTTGTTCACTTCATCCGTAAAGCGATGGGGAAGAGTGACACTGCCGGAAAAAGGATCCACTTTTTTCTAGGAATGAAGGGAAAAAAAACCCATTAAAACAAACAAAAAAAACCCCATGACCTGAGGGTAAATTACACAATCACAGGGAGTTGGTCCCCTAAATTTGGGGGGAAAAAATTGCAAACAAGGTGAAGGACTGCAGCTTATTCTAAATTCTAAAAAGACCGAAAGCCTTAAAAACTTCCCGAATCCCACCCTCCCTGCTTCCAACCCACCTTTTTCTGCAGCACCATATCCAGGAACACATTGATATACACAAACTGCTTGGGGTGGGTGAAGTCCAGCTGCTGGAATTTTTTCAGCATGCCCACAGCCTGCTGCAGCTCGTAGGAGGGTCTGCGGTACAGCCACGTCAGGTACACATCGTCCACGGGTTTGGTCATCAGTGGCCGCCTCCGAGGAGGGGGTTTGTCCTTCACCTTCTCCTGCCTGCCCCTCTTGGCATCTTTTTTGGCAGTTCTAAGACAAAAAAAAAACGAAACCAAATATGTTGTGAGGTCACCAGTTAAAGAGTTTGGCACACCTGGCATTCTGATGRTATAAAAAAAGGTTTCTCTTCCCTTCCCCGCAGCGTTTTGCACTCAGTTAAACATCAGTCCCAAWTCTTATTCTCCTTTCTATTTTCAGAGGGAAAATAGAAGGCAAGGAAAAAAATCATTAAAATAATAACTGGATACTCCAATTCTCTATAAACAGGGTGAGAGTCTGCAGCACTTCAAAACACTTCAAGTTCCTGTACACAAAGGTCATTTTTGATTCTCCCAATCTATTACTATAAAGATGACAAATTAAACAATAAAAAGCCAACTGGAAAACAAGAAGGGTTTGAGAACGATTCCTGGAGCTCACCAACTTCCATGCTGATGTGTAACCCTGCCATACCCCACAAAACCACAGCTCAAAACCACCATATCAGCGTTTCCTTGTGATATTATCACAGAAAACACTCTCAGAGTTCAGGCTGTCCTCCAGGATCACCTGGGATACCCACAGGGTCAGTGGACTGTTGGACCAACCCCGCAGACCCCAAACCCYCCGCACACACCCCGTACCACCGCCCCCCGGCCCAGGCAGCCTCCAGGGATGCCGGACCCGCACTCACTTGGCTGCTGCCGCGTAGAACCGGGCGGTCCCGGGGGTCACCGTGGCGGGGACGGCGAGGCGCTGCTCCAGCCCGGGGAGAACCCACCCGCAACGCGGGGCCAGTGCTGCGGGGGAAGAGCAGACATGGCTTCAGACAAGCGCCRCGGCCTCCCGCACCCCCGGCCCGCCCGGACAGGGCCCTCCCGCCCCTCGGTCCCTCATGCGCCCCGTCACCTCGCCACAGGCAGCGGGCGCTGGGCGCCGCCATCTTGCCATCCGCCGCGGTGCACCCTCGGAACCGCTCCCCGCGGAACTCGCTCCCCGCAGCCCAGAAGAAGCGTTCCGGCCGCAGGCGGCCACGGGCGCGATGTGGGTGCTCCCCCTACCGCTGTCCCCCCGCCCCCCGCGCCCGGACCCGCCGTTCCGCTGCCGGCGTGTGCCAGCTGTCCGGGGAGAGGTGCCCATCGCCGGGAGCCGAATAAAAACCTCCAAAAGGCTTCTTCACCGGCTTGAGAGGGGCCTCAGGGCCAGCCCGGGGTTGTCTCATGGCATGGCGAGCCAAACCTGTCCCCTCTCCCCGAACCAACATGGCGGCGGCCGCTGAGGGCAGGCAGAGCCGCGGCCCTCAGTTTATACCTGATCAAACACGTCTGTTCGGGAGAACACTGCCAGTTTAATGCTGAATATTGTGTGATCTAAGCTCCGTGTCATTCCAAAAAGAGATTTTCTGGCTGCCATCTCACCCCTGTTCAATGCAAATGGATTGGGAAAAGCACTGCCTAATCCACACTCCTGGAGCAGCATCCACCTACAAAGATTTTGTTCAGCCATCTCCTGAGCTGTTAAGATACACACAACTATAATGGTTAAAGGGGGCTTTTAGTCCACACTCATGTGCTTTTGACTAAATACATTCTAATCAGAGATTTCCCTGATCCACGTGTGTCAAATTTTTTAATTAGGGATATGTGGCTATGTAAAATTTCCAAATGGATCCATGTCCACGATTTTTTAAATCAGATACGTGTGGTTGTGTAAAAGAAGTTGTAATAAAACTGTGTTGGTCCAGCTCTTGGCTCASTGTCCTGGGAAAGGATGGAGATGGGGAGGTGTGAGTGCAATGGGAGGAATTCTCCTTGGTTAAGGWGTTTAACATGAGTTTAACACTCAAGGCAGGGAAATGGGATTATTTCGGATGGGGTCTAGGCGTGTTTGACTCTCTGTGGTGCTGGATGTCAGAGGAGACTGCTGAAGATGCACCTGTGGCCAGGTGACCTGCATCCTTCACAGCGTTCCTGTGTCATTCCACAATCCCGGTGTGAGACACGGTCTCTGCTGTGGCCGTGGATTTTGGGAGAGAAACMCGGGCTCACCATTAATGCCCATTCACATTCCTGATAATTCTCCAATTCCCGCTTCCTACCGACACCCCTTGCTCCATCACTGAGACCCTTCCCGCTCTCCAGGCATCAATGAACTTTTGGGTCGAGCCTGAGCTCAGGCAGCTGCAGCAGAAAGCAAATTCCAATGAAAATCCTGTCTGTGTCCCCCCAGCCACCTGCTGCTCCCTCAGACACTCCGCCATCTCCCTGAAGCCTTTGTTTTCCCAGCACATCCCTCCCCGCTCCTGGCTGCTGCTCTTATTTTATTTCTCAATCCACCTTTCCCTCACGTTGGCCCGGCTCGGCCACCAAAGCGATGCTGTTTTTTTCTGGAGGCGATGGCCTTGAGCACCAGCGCCACATTTACCTGCGCATCCCTGCTGAATGCCCACAAGGATCCGTGCCACGGACACCGACAGAGCCCCATTTCCTACAGRAGGACAAACAAAGGTGTCAGACCCCGCTGAACGCGGGCACCCCGCATTCCCAGGTGGACTCGCTGTAAAACCGCGGGGGTGAAACAAACCGGGGGGATCTTTCGGTCCCTGCCCGTCGGTGAGCGCGGACACGGCCCCGGCCCCGCGAGTGCCCGCGCTCCCCCCGCCGCGTCCCGGGCACCGC